ATCAGGGGAGGTAAGGGAAACAAAGTACAGGGAGCAGATGAAAGTATGTGTTTTAGAGAAAGGATAATGGGAGAGAAGGAGAGAAATAGAGACAGGCATACAAAACTGACTGTGAGGAGGGTTGTAATGCCTCTTCCTTTTTTTTTCACAGCTGATGTGTCTTGAGAACCTCCACCTACTGCTTAGCATCTTGTGAGCACCCACCCATCTGTCAGCATCTCTTTCTTTGCTGGCAGCCTCATTATAGCTGGAGATCCTAGCCTGCAATTTATCAACAAGGATCAAACTAGGAAAACAGGAAAGAAAGAGACTTGAAACACAAGGAGTTCTAGGAAAATGGGAGACCTAGCTGTTCATAGATATTGAATGCCAAAGTAGTCTATCAGCTTGTTTAGCCTTAGCATAGCAAAGGACATAGAAACGCATGCTACTTCCCGCATGGTTGAGCCTCAGAACTTGCGTTTAACTAAAGCATATCTACCAAAAAGCCTTGAAAGGAAGGACCCAAGGAATGCAGAATCTCACAGACAATACAGTCATAGGTTCATAGAACGCCAGATTGGAAGGGACCTCGAGGATCATTTGGTCCAACCTTTCTTTGCAAAAGCACGGTCTAGACAAGATGGCCCAGCACCCTTTCCAGCCGAATCTTAAGTGTCCAATATTGGGAAATCCACCACTTTCCTGGAGACATTATTCCAATGACTGATTGTTCTCATTGTGAAAAATTTTCCTCTTGTGCCCAGTCAGAATCTTCCCAGGAGTAACTTTTATCCATTACCCCTTGTCTTTTCCATGTGGCTCCTTGTAAAAATGGAGTTTCCATCTTCTTTGTAGCCACCCTTTAAATACTTGAACATGGGTGATAAGGTCTCCCCTAGGGCTTCTTTTCTCAAGGCTGAACAAACCCTGTTCTCTCAGCCTTTCCTCATATGGCAGGCTCCCCAGTCCTTTGATCATCTTTGCGGCCCTTCTCTGGACTCTCTCCAGCCTGTCCACATCTTTTTTTGTATAGCAGGGAACAAAACTGAATGCAGTACTCCAGGTGTGGCCTGAAAAGCGCTGAGTAGAGTGGGATAATGACTTCTTTATCTCTGCTGATGATGTCCTTTTTGATGCAACCCAGCATCCTGTTGGCTTTCTTTGCTGCAGCAGCACACTGTTCACTCATATTGAGGTTGTCGTCCACCAGGACCCCCAGGTCCCTTTCCACAGAGCTGCTCCCCAGCTGGGTACATGTCAGCCTGTGCTGCAGTCCTGTATTATATTTTCCCAAGTGCAAGACCTTACACTTGTCCTTGTTGAACTTCGTAAGGATCTTGTTAGCCCACTCTTCCAGCCTATCCAGGTCTTCCTGCAAGGTGGCTCAGTCGTGCCCCTTCCTTTTTATGGGTAAATGCCTCCTAGATTTAAGATGAGGAAATGGTGGATCTGAATAGAGCTACAAAATAATAACACAGAACAAAGAGTGAGAAGGGCATTTTGTTTGCCAAAGTTGCACTTCTACGTTCTGAACAGATGGCTGACAATGACCTGAGACCTTAGAAAATTGAATCGATGAAAGAAACGTGTTCAGATTTAATTATAGGTAATTGCACAGAAAGTGTAAAACTAAGCCACAAGCCTCAGTTTATTGAGTGAATGTATGTGGCAGTAACACATAAAAAATTCACCCTAGTTCAGTTTTATGAAGTTTCCATCACAAAACATTGTACTGATTGAATAAACTAAACCCCACATTTATTTTCTATTTTTGTTTCATAATTAAGGAATTTCAGACATTTGTTCAATGTCTGATCCTCATTCTTGTTTCTTAGAACAACTGGCTTGAGTTTTATAGTATTTTGTAGAATAGAAAATAAAATTATCATTAGGAAGACTCACTTCATGAGCTACAAAGTGACTGACCAGTAGAAATCTATGGGACCTGTGCAGCTCATTTTCTACATGTTTCTGAAAAAATACTGCTCTTGTTCAGTTGGTCACTGTGAATAAATAGTCACAGGTGCACACGTATGTTAAATATCTTTTAATCATCCCCTTCAAAAGAAGTTTGACATAATAATATCCCTATCATGTCAACCAAGGATGTATTCAAGTCAAAGATGCCACATCATGCAAGGGTTGTATGTGTAGACATAGGGAGATTGAAAAGTAAACCATACTTAGGAAAAACACCTAAATAATTGCTACTCTTCTACATAACTAGTTACACTGAACTTCTGAACAAATCTCATGTTGTGCTGGCTTTGGCTAAGATGGATTTAACATTCTCCACAGCAGCCTGTATAGTGCTGTGTTTTGGATTTGTGCCTAAAACAATGTTGATACCACACCAGTGTTTTGGCTATTGCTGAGCAGTGCTTGCACAGTGTCACAGCCTTCTCTCTTTCACACTTCTTCCCCAGTCAGTAGGCCAAGGGTAGCAAAGAATTTGGAAAGGGACACAGCCAGGACAGTTGAACATCGGCCAAAGGGATACTCCATACTATACAACACGGTGCTCAGCAGTAAAGCTGGGATAGAGGAAAAAGGATGAGGTGGAGCAGCACAGTGTGCTCAAAGCCCTGTCCAACCTGACCTTGAACATTTCATTCACCCAGTGCCTGCCTTGAGATTCAGGGACTCAAGAGGTGTGGGAAGAGCAATGAAGTGAAATGAAGAGAGTGAAAACTGAGACAGAAAAGTTGTTGAGTACTTCGGTCTTCTCCGTGTCAGTTGTCACCAACATGCCCCGCCGCATTTATTGGGGGAGTACAACTGCTTTTGTCTTCCTTTTCTGACTAATGTGCCTGTTATCAGATGTTCATCCATTTCTGTTAAGGTACAAGTACCAACAATGTTAGCTAGAGATGCCCCTGGTTGGGGAATATACTTAATCTGTAGACTCAAAAAATTCATTCCAATGGAAGCTGAGAAGGAAGAGTCAGAACCAGCACTGTAACTCCGATGCGAGACGTGCTGTCATGCAACCTCTGCCCATCTGCAAAGCTCTTTTCATTGACATACTTCGTGTTTTTTCAGTCCATCAGTCTGGCAAATAAATTTCCTCCCCTTTGGTTTATGAGAGTCATGTTTTTAGGTTGCTTTGGGATGGATCAGCACAGCCCATAGATGCTGTACTGCCTTCTCTGACTTTCAGCATGTCAGCAGGTACATGCACTGAAAACGACCTTTGATGAGAAGATTTTTCTGGAATGCTTTTCCTTCCCTATCTGTAAGATTAAATATAAAAATATAATATGAATTTATACAAATGGTACTCTTATGTCAGAGTGAATAATTTTCTCCAATAAGTATGAATTTCATTGTAAGTCTTTCAGGCTGTGATACAGATTTCAGTTTAAAGCCATGCATAAAGCTAAACTATGCAGGCACAGAACTTCTACTTGAAATATCTCTGTTTGCCAATTCTCTATACTTTCTCTTTTTCTTTTAAAGGAATAATAATCTTCCTTTAAAATATTAGAGACGCTTCCATCCAGAAGACCAAGAGCTTGCAAACAAACAAGCATTCTTGGAGAGGTTTTCAAAATCCTGGATGGGGCTGTACTCAAGGTACCCACAAACAATATCAACGGTGCCATCAGTTGCCACAGAATAAGATGAAAAGTCTGCTAAGGGGTTCTCATTTTACAGCCTTGTAGACAGATAGGTTTTGGGAAGCAATTGAAGCCTAAGAGCAAAGAGATCTGAAGACGTTCTTCAAAGCAAAAAATAATTTGCAGGGAAAAAAAAGGTGTCAATTGTATAATAAATCTGGTTTGAAAGAGCATTATCTGTAAAAAGTTTATTCCCATCCTTCCAGTTTTCATAAAAATGCATTTAATTTAGTCTGACATAACGTTGTGAAACTCTATTAGGCCATGTGCAAAAATATTTCCCACTATTAATCAGTATTGTTAGTGATAATGAACATGGAGTGGTGTTACCACGATTTAATAGCCTTGCCAAGTAAGATTTTTATAAGACTGTTTTATTAATTCAACCAAACCACAGCTGTACGGGAACACTGAGTCCATAATTGGGCACGAGAGATTTTTGAGAAGAATTAAAAGTGCACTGCAGCTTTTTTATTTTATATGTAAGAAAAACAAATTAAAAACTCTTGTTTGTCTTTCCTTCTGTCTGGTATCCTCCTTTGTGAATGCTATCATTGATAATCCATTTTCTGGTGACCCTTTCATATGCCGTTTTGCCACCATAATATAATTTACATTCCCAAATTATAGAAACTAAATAACAACAAGAAAGTCAAAATTACATTTCTTCATTCCAAAACCATCTATATATTATTAATCACACTCCCTCTTTAATAATAAGTATCAATTATATAGTTTGCCGAGGATGACCTGGAGGAATGTTTAGTAGAGTCTAATGGACATATGTAAAGTTTCTAAACATATTTCAAATCATGTACTATAAATGGAGCACTGTAGTGCTTGCTAAGAATTCATTTCTTTTTCAGCCATAAAATCTCACATAGGTTGTTATCATTGCATTATTAGTTGATTGTAAAAATCAATTGCCCCTCAAAAGAAGAAAAAAAAAAGTAGACCTCTTTACCACTTTTTTATCAAAGTACATATTTCCCTAAAAAAAAAAAATATAGAAATTTGAAAGCTGCAGAAATAAAAAATGAATGTCATTGTTGAAGGGTCTGTTGATGTTTTCTTCTAAAAACTGGTGAACACATTTTTCTGATATTATTGAAATTATTAGTGGAAATAAAAAATCCTCTTCAAGGATATAATTCTGGTTAAATTTTACAAGCCCAACTGATTTGATTTCCCTCACGTGCTATAGAAACTTTTCACACTGGCTTTCTTGGAAATATTTAAATCCTACTCAAGTTAGAAGGAACTGAACGTGCTTATAAATCCTGAAAGGTGGCTGAGCAGTGCGTATTTCTAGTAAATATGACTCCTATCTGTTTAGAAAGTATAAGTGTATTATTTGTTTACAAGGTAAGATGGGTTCCCTTTTTCTTGGTGTTTCAGCTGCTACAGAGGTTTCCTTTTCATTTGATGTTGGAAACGGGCCCGTGGAAATTGTCGTTAGATCTCCCAACCAGCTCAATGATGACCAGTGGCATCGGGTGAACGCCGAGAGGAATGTCAAACAGGCCAGCCTGCAGGTAGACCAGTTACCCCTGGAGGTCCGGAAAGCACCAACGGAAGGACACACACGACTGGAATTGTACAGCCAGCTCTATGTTGGTAAGATGCAGAGCGGGTAACCGGGCTTTGCTCTCACATGTTGAACACTCCTTGCCTTTTATCTGGCCAGATAATTTAATGTGGGAAGTTGCGCTCCTGAAACACTTGCATGACAACAGGGGGCGGGGAGGGGGAGGGGGGGAGGGGAGAAAAGGCAAGCATGTCCATAATTACAGAAATAAGATGATCAACTAAGAGAAAAATATCCTGTGCTGGCAACTTGTCGTTTTTGTCTTTCCCCACCTGCAGCTCCTGGCTGAAAGTATCTCTCTAGCAGGCAGTAGTGCCAAACTCATTTTTTGCTGGGTGTCTCTCACACACTCATTCACCACAGAAGTGAAAAATTCTGCATAGGTCTTGCCAGGACTGCATGTGCCTGCAGTGCCCATCCTAGCCTCGGCAGCACTTTCAGCCTCTTTACATTTGATCATTGCCCACGCTTTTGCCTTCACGGCTCACGTTGCAGTGTTTTCCCTTTAGTCCCATGGACCGTTTGCCCATTCGATGTAAGAAAGCACCACACACTGTTACACAAACGCATTCCCTGGAACCAAGTTAGTCCAGCTGCTTTCTGGAGCTGCTGGTCTCCGCTACATTTTGGGCAGGCTGTTCCAGCAGCACTTGCATTTCTCTGACTGTTAGCCCCGGGGCTGTGAAGTGCAGACATGCCAAGTGTCATTAGCTGGAATCAGAACTGCATGAAACGTTGAGCAAAGTAGCACTTTCCTACCTCTCTAGATATCTGTTAACAGGCAAAGAGGGAAGGGGGAAGGAAAAAAAAGACATTATCTCATTTTTTTCTGATACTAGGCAGGGTTCAACAGCAGAAATTAATTAAAATAATGTTTAAAGCCTTCACTGCCTTAGTAAACAGCACGGTGTCACTGCAAACTGTGTATAATGTGTCACCAGATGTGCAGTCATTATTTACAAGCTCAGATTCTCCTTTACTGCTGACTGTGATCCCAATAAACGGCAGTTTCAAAATAAGGTGAAATGTGAAGTTTGTTTAAAAGAGGAAGCCTTAACCTTTTAAAAGAAATACCAAGCCTTTTGCTAAAAACAGGAAGACCTGGATTTTTTTCTAGTCTGAGTTCTTGGGGAATTGTTAATAATGATGATTTTTATTAGTAGTTTTGAATTAACTGTAACACCAGCAATGTTTTGAAATACCTACTACCTTTCTTGCCAAAAGCTGAATGCCCAAATCTGTACCAAATTTCCTTTCTTTCTGAATCATATCCTATTCATATAACTTGGTGATTGGAGCACACATCTCAAAGAACAGATTTAAATCCTTACCCAGAGTCAGACAGAGAATGGATTTGAGTTAGAGTGTCCCAAATGAACACCCTAAACATTGGGGCCTAGAGAGTAATACTGAACAAGAATTGTTTTTGTGTCTCCCATTCGACTTTCTGTAGAATAAATATCTATTCCTTGGGCCAGTGAGAGAGCCTGAGGGATGATGCTTTGTGTCCTAGGGGCTAGGACAGTCACCAGGAGGGGAAAGAAGGGAATTAGATGTAATAGGGTTTTTGTCCCCACTGCAGTGTGTATGAGTTCACACAGAATGGAAGCACACCAGAACGCCCTCTGTCCCATGCACTCGGCAGAGACCGAGCATTGCCTCATCTTACTCCAAATCATCCCGTTACCAGCAGCTGATTTGAAGCAGCCCTCTCTCTTTGGCATGTATTTAGTCCTCTTCCCCACTCAGGTAGATATCAGCCTCTGTGCTCTGTGGTGATGAGCATTCAGATCTCCTCGGGGACTCTTCAGCACCTGCGGCTCTGCAGTAATCAAAGAGATGAGATGATGAGAAGAAAGGATGACAGCCACTCATTGTTATTTGCTTCCATTTTTAGGGGTTTTTTTTGTTTCTAATACAGACTCAGATAAGACTTTCCAAACTGAAATCACATTTTTCAGGAATTGTTTACTAAGGGCGGGAAAGGAACCCTTCTTATTGAATGCAAAGAAAAGCCATCTCAACCCAGATTGTCAAATGTAGCTATTTAGTGTTATATCCTTCACCCTACACTCAGGCAACTAAACAATATACCTAGTGTTGCTTGGAAATTAACATCTATATTTCCTACTGCAGCTGAGACTGGGGATTTAAATCTATTCTTTCTTTCTTTCCCCATCATGGCTTTGAAAAATGTGACACTGCCTAACGTATTATGACGTTATTATTAGCATCCATCATCACTAATCATATGGAGAGTAAGGCTATACCTTAGCAATTGAGGCAAGTCCATTTCTTCCACTGTTATCTCTAAAAATCTTGAAATTGAAATGAAATGAAGTCTTACAGTGGAGGGCTAGAATCTCTAATATCTAATCAGTGTAAAGCAAACACAGCTACTATTTATGCTTACTTACAGTATGGTATCAAAAGGTTGGGTTTCATTGATTCCATTGTCATTAGGACAAGGCAGTTCCTTGCCTTTACAAAGAAGTTACCTATTTCCAGCTGTTGTCACAAGCTTAGCAGGATATTTCATGTAAAGCAACAACAATAAAGTCTGTTCAGTGTTGTCTTACAGTTTTACATTCCCTCTCAGGTGCTGCAGGAGGCCAGCGAGGCTTCCTAGGTTGCATTCGTTCATTAAGGATGAACGGGGTTACGCTGGACCTGGAAGAGAGAGCGAAAGTCACGCCTGGGGTGAAGCCTGGCTGCTCTGGCCATTGCACAAGCTATGGGATGTACTGCGCAAACGGCGGTAAATGTGTCGAGAAATACAATGGCTACTCCTGTGACTGCTCCAAAACTGCCTATGATGGACCATTTTGCATTAAAGGTAAATGCTTCAGTACAGGAGATGGAGTATGGGAGAACTGCCTGAGAAAAAACACAATAGAATCAATGCTTCGGCTTTTATTAATTAAACAAGTACATCCTGTTTAATACTTCTTACAAACAAGTCAAATTATACACCCAGGATTTAAATGTGATGGTTTAAAACCACATCTCATTAGTACTAATATATGTTACCTGTTTAAATCAAACAACACAACAACAAAATGCATCAGGAATGCTTGTAGTCGTAGCAGGTCTGGCAGACTGCATTCCATAGTCTTGAGGTCTCGAACTATAAATTCCTACTAGCACAATGTCGTGGTTTCTTCTTTAGAAAAAACATGGATTTTAACAAAAGCTACATAGTCTCATTCAGAAATATATTTGGAGATACACAGGTGTTGAATATCTTATAAATCGGGAGGCCAGCATTTGGGTTAAGCATTTTGTCCATCCATAACCAGATCAAGTCTTTCAGTAGCTCAAACTGGGTTAGAGATTGAACTTGCTACGGTAAGGGAAGGTACAGAGCATCCACATCCATGTCAGTCCTTTGGAAATGCCTAAAGTATTTTCTGAATTTTCAAAGTCAATGATTGTAAGAGACCAATTTAATACGGACACACATGCCTGCATAAGAAAGAAAGACAAGGAGTGAGGAAAAGAGAATCTTACATACAAAAAAAAACAAAAAAAAGAAAGAGTACAGATGCTAATTTAATTCCACATGTTTTTTTCTTGTTTTGACCAGAAATTATTGTGACAAAGTAAGTGGTAATAGGAATATAATTTTCCAAATGTTTGCACAGTTTGCAGGTTTTGTGGCTATTCATTTCCCTTACATTTCAAAGGGTATTCTCATAATACTCTCGAAATATTCTTCTCAACACCTCTAAGGGTTTCATCACATTTACCTGAGGTGCTAATATCTCTCAGCAGCTTTCTTTCACTGTGCTTTTATTGGTACACAAAATCATCCAATCTGTTGCTTTTCCTAATAATTTTAAAAGCTTTCTCAAAAGGTACTAATCCAGCAGTTTCAACCAAAAAATGTGAAGGTTTTTCTCATCTTTATCTGTCATGCTAAAGAAACCTCTAGCCTCATAAACTGCTCTTTTGCTTTTACGTTACCCACTGTACCAGGAATCCTGCAGGCGGGTTGAGTCATCAGTCACCAAATTTCTTTAATGAAATTGTCTTGGCAGTAGGGGAAAGCTCCTGTCCTTTGACATTCTGGTTTCCAACTCCTTCTTAACTTTTCTGTTTTTTCCAAGCCGAACTTTGAGGGTTACTCTGCAAACATCCATACCCTGCTCCTTTCCAGCCACACTTAGAGGAAACCAAGTTTATAACGGAAAGAGGCAGTCTTTTTTACCTGATGCTGGGTTATGGACTGGTATCTCAACTCATTTTTCATTAACACTTTGACACTTTCCCCTGTCTAAAAGCACTGAAATGTCTGTGAACATGTTTTTACAGACTATATTCTCTGTTTTCAACCAATTCCATTCTTTTCTTAGCAAAAACACAGTTGAATACTGCTTTGTCAATTGTGGTGTTCTAACCTGCACCACAGTATGCAGTTGGATGCTGTGATATTGCACGAGTCTAATATGAGGCAAGCAAGAATATTTTCCTTTGTTACCTTCACTAGGAATTCATATCAGCTGCCAAGAAATAACAAGGTTAGTGCTTTGCACGATAAACTAGGACTATGTTTCATTATTTTACTTCTCTGAGTAAATCTTCCAGGCCAAGCAGCACTGTTGATTTGATAATCAATAGTGCCTCACTTTTCAAGTCATCACATTCCAACCCATGTGAGATATTACCAGAAAAATATGCTACTCAGCAGGAGTGAGGGGTGGCATAATGTAATACCTTTCAATATACCACAGTCTTGTCTTCCCGTTGACTTTAATTTGCACAGGAAGCTTTTCTTATCCAAAAATTTCTTTTTTATATTCAAGTCACTTCCCCACGGTAAACTTCTTGGGGTTGGTTACATAGTGAAACTGCTAGCAGAAGAAGTGATAAGAAAAATAAACGAAAAACACATCATTACTATAAGGAAATCACCATACAGTGATTCATAAGTAATAAACACATCTCACAATAAAAACAGACCTTGCATATTGTGGATTCTTTTGCTGATGAAATCCATCCTTAGAGCCGGTGATTGATGACTGACAAGAAATTGCATTGCCTCCAGCCTTATTAGCAGTGGATCACAATGTGATTGATATGATAGTGGCCTGGAAATTACACTATTTTTTTACAAAGACAAAAAAGTGCAAAAATGCAGTCTGACATCTATTTTAACTTTATTTTTGTTTTGCATTTGGGGCATATGCAATTAGCTTCACTTCTCCTTTTACTGCTCAGAGAAATTGTTCTGAGGAATAGCTGCAGTGTTTCTGCAGTCCTACAGATTGCTTTCTGACCTTTCCCTGTCCTTTACTTAAGCATAAATTCTCTTTTTTTTCTCTTCCACAGCTGTTCTATCACCATAAAAGTATTTCTGAGAAAACAATTAATTTTTGTTCCTTTAAAAAACAAACTCTTTCCTTCCTTTAAACAAAAAGAGCAAAGGTCAAATGCTGAAATGGCAATGCAGAGCGTGTGGCAGCACTGTGATGTGGGGGGTCCCCCAAGGAGAAAGCATTCCTCCTTTGGGTATTGAAGCGCTGTGGATCAACTGTAGGAGAAGAAATTTCCCACCACCAAGACAGTGTGACCAAAAAGAAAAAATTAAATACCTGGTTCTGTGACTCGTGTGCCTTCAGGTGTGCTGGAAGGGTAAAAAAGCTTCCCAGTTACTCAATTTGCGTCAACAAACACCAAGACAATGACCACAGTGTATATGCTTTTTTCTTTCTTTCAACTAAAGCTCAGATTCACAGTGTGAATTGTTGCAATCCTTATGCCAATGCCTGAACTGAACTCCTTCATGTTTGTTTTTATATTTGCGGGAACCCTGAAAGCCCTTACAGTAGTATTGTCATGGTCAGATTTCCTTCCTTTCTTTCTCCCTTCTCTGCCTCAAAGAGAAAAATCAGCTATTTACTAGGCTGAGTGGATGCAGTAAAGACATGCCAGATCTGGTGCTATGGCACATGGGTGAAGCAGGTCTGCACCCTTCCACAGACTTAGGCTGTCACTTGACCATCACCAAATTCTTCCCTGGTTATGCTTATTCAAGTCCCTTTATTTTTCTGGGTGAAAATACATTTCATTTATTTGCTGTAAGTAACGGGGAGGAGATTGTTCAAGTGGTTTAGGGTAACTAGCATTTCTATTGTTCATAATCCAAGAACCTGGAAAATAGAGACAACATTCCGTCCCACCCCAAAAAAACTTCTGCTATACACAACATGATCATGAGCTGTTGGACAAAAGTTGTATCAGAAATTTTCCTTGGGTTGGGAATGGTATGCTCCATTCTGGTAAGTCTGAATGCTGCAGTCAGGTTTTTCTACTTGTAGATCAGGAGCTACAAGGACTTGGGTCTTAGCCTCTATCAAGTAAATATATATACTCACAAAAAAATATACACTCTGTAAAGCTATTCCATTCCACTATCCTGTCAATACTGCCTTATTAAACATGCACAGTAGTGCTCTAGTTCTTTAAAAATTGCATTTCACTTAAATCGCAAGAATTCTTTTATTGGAAAAAAAACCATTTTTTTTCTTTTGAAATCATAACACACCTTCCCCGTGCTACTTACATATCTCAAAGAGATATCAACCAGATTATAAACTGAACTTGCCAGCCCACTTCCCATCCATAATAAACTACATATAAAATGCAAGGATTTCTTATTCTGTACACAGAAAGCAAATAAATCAGTGTAATAAGTTAAAAAATACTAAGTCCTGGCTCAGAAAATGTGATAAACTTTCAATTTCTTTGTCAGCTAACTATAATAGGCCTGCTCTGGTGTCATTGCTCACTGAATGCAGATGTTTTATTAAAGTTGAGTATAGCAGCTTCAGCAATATTGCCAGCCGCTGTGTGCCTGTGCAAAGGCAACTGAGAGATTTGAGGTTCTTGCATCAGACACTCATCTGCAATGTTTATACACCTGCATGCTATTGGAGTAGTATTGGCACCTCACAAGCTGATAAGGTATTTATCCTTACAACAGCTCTGTGATATGAGGAAATGTTTTTATTATGGTAATGCAGAAAGTGAACGAGATAATGAAGGAAGCAGGGAACTGCTCACTTAAGAGTAGATACCTGTGGTGGAGGAAGGAATTGAAGCCAGATCTCACCTATCAAAGTTGCCACTCTGAATAGTGTGCAATCATCAAATGGCAGTCTCTAATATTTCTCAAATGGCTCTTTCAATGCTGCAAGTTTTTTCTCTGAGGTTACCTAGAGAGCACCTCCAAAGACTCCCCAGAAGGAAATCATAAAGCCTGGTCTGTTGTATATTTTATATTATATTTTCCTTCGTCCATCCTGTTTTATTTGGTGGATGTTTTTTAACCATTATGTCTATTTCCATTAGAATGGGATTAGATTCAGCAGCGAATATACAGCGCAGGTTGCCATTCCCTTATTCTGAGCCTGCTGTTCTAGGCATCACTTCAAACAGCTGTAGCTGTAGAAAGATCTATAATAACTTCACATCAGTGCAGAATGAACGACAGCTATGATTTTCCTGATATTTTTAATCTTTCCTTGGTGTGTGCACTTCTGTCCAGGTATAGCAAGGTAGATTAAAAGACATTGGCTTTACAGGGCTATTGCAAAAGAAGGTTCAGAGCTCAGCCTTGCTTAGGTACGCCAAACTGCTCCCTGGCAGAATCTACCTGTCGGCATTGACTAGGGAGGCTTGAAGATGTAATGAATCAGGTAGCTTAATCCAATCTTCTGTGGCACTCATCCTGTTCTACTGAAGGTAGCAGGAAACTTTGCCTTGATTTATGATGAGGCCTCATAATTTCACAGGTGGACATTATTTTACATATCCCCCAATTCTGATGGTCAT